TCTTACCCTTAGCCGCCAGCAGGTCGCCCCCTTATATACACGGGTTGGCGCCCTGCGGCTTACAGAGTCCCGGCCGGCTCATTAACAATGTTCGGCTCGGTGACTAGTTAAATCTACCATACAATACAAGTAATGCCATTATGGCGGTTTACTACAACGGGCCTCAAGTCGCTGGTGGGCTTTAGACCCTTTATTGAACCGCCATCTTCATGCTTGGTCTTGGGCTTCTTTCTGATGATTCCTCTTTGCGTAACCCGGCCCCTCCTGGGCGGCTTACACAAATAGTTATATCCCCAACATGTATCCATGTTTAAGTCTGTCTGAATCATGTTAGCAATTACCGCATTTTATGATTATGAAATCTGGCAAATGGATGTCAAAACTGAATTCCTTAATGGATTTCTTAAAGAAGAGTTGCATATGATGCAACTAGAAGGTTTTTTCGATCCTAAAGGTGCTAACAAAGTGTGCAAGCTCCAGCGATACATTTATGGACTGGTGCAAGCATCTCGGAGTCGGAATATACGCTTTTGATGAGATGATCAAAGCATATGGTTTCATACAGACTTTTGGAGAAGCATGTATTTACAAAAAAGTGAGTGGGAGCTCTGTAACATTTCTAATATTATATGAGGATGACATATTGTTGATTGGAAATGATATAGAATTTCTGGATAGCATAAAAAGATACTTGAATAAAAGTTTTCTAATAAAAGGCCTCGGTGAAGCTGCTTATATATTGGGCATCAAGATCTATAGAGATAGACCAAGATGCTTAATAGGACTTTCACAAATCACATACCTTGACAAGATTTTGAAGGAGTTCAAAATGGATTAGTCAGAGAAGGAGTTCTTGCCTGTATTGTAAGGTGTGAAGTTGAGTAAAGACTCAAAACCCGACCATGGCAAAAGATAAAGATAGAATGAAAGTCATTCCCTATGCCTCTACCATAGGTTCTATAAAGTATGACATGCTGTGTACCAAACCTGTTGTGTACCTTGACATGAGTTTGGCAAGGGGGTACAATAGTGATCCAGGAATAGATCACTGGACAGAGGTAAAAATTATCCTTAGTTACCTTAAAGAGGACTAAGGAAATGTTTCTCGGTTATGGAGGTAATAAAGATTTCATCGTAAAGAGTTACGTCGATGCAAGCTTTGAAACTGATCTAGATGACTCTAAGTCTCAATCTAGATACGTATTGAACGTGGGAGCAATTAGCTAGAGTATCTCCATGCAGAGCATTGTAGACATAGAAAATTGCAAAATACATACGGATCTGAATGTGACAGACATGTTGACTAAACTTCTCTCACAAGCAAAACATGATCACACCTTTGTACTCTTTGGGTGTTAATCATATAGCGATGTGAACTAGATTATTGACCCTAGTAAACCCTCTGGGTGTTGGTCACATGGAGATGTGAATTATGGGTGTTAATCACATAAATATGTGAACTAGATTATTGACTCTAGTGCAAGTGGGAGAATGAAGGAAATATGCCCTAGAGGCAATAATAAAATTGTTATTGTATATTTCCTTATATCACGAAAAATGTTTATTATTCATGCTAGAATTGTGTTAACATGAAACTTGATACATGTGTGGACACATAGACAAAACACCATGTCCCTAGTAAGCCTCTATTAGACTAGCTCGTTAATCAAAGATGGTTAAGTTTCCTAACCATAGACATGTGTTGTCATTTGATGAATGGGATCACATCATTAGGAGAATGATGTGATGGACAAGACCCATCCATTAGCACAACATATTGATCATTCAGTTTTATTGCTATTTGCTTTCTTCATGTCAAATACATATTCCTTCGACTATGAGATTATGCAACTCCCGGATACCAGGGGAATGCCTTGTGTGCTATCAAACGTCACAACGTAATTGGGTGATTATAAAGATGCTCTACAGGTATCTCCGAAGGTGTTTGTTGGGTTGGCATAGATCGAGATTAGGATTTGTCACTCCGAGTATCGGAGAGGTATCTCTGGCCCCTCTCGGTAATGCACATCATAAGAAGTCTTGCAAGCAAAGTAACTAATGAGTTAGTTGCAGGATGATGCATTACGGAATGAGTAAAGAGACTTGCCGGTAACGAGATTGAACTAGGCATGAAGATACCGACGATCGAATCTCGGGCAAGTAACATACCGATGACAAAGGGAATAACGTATGTTGACATAGCGGTTCGACCGATAAAGATCTTCGTAGAATATGTGGGAACCAATATGAGCATCCAGGTTCCGCTATTGGTTATTGACCGGAGAGGTGTCTCGGTCATGTCTACATATTTCTCGAACCTGTATGGTCCGCACGCTTAACGTTCGATGATGATATGTATTATATGAGTTATGTGTTTTGGTGAATGGACGTTGTTCGGAGTCCTGGATGAGATCACGGACATGAAGAGGAGTCTTGAAATGGTCGAAGGTAAAGATTGATATATTGGAAGGTAGTATTCGGACGCCGGAAGGGTTTCGGAATGTATCGGGTACATATCAGAGTACCGAAGGGGTTACCGGAACCCCCCGGGGAAAGATATGGGCCATATGGGCCATAGGAGGGAGGCACACCAACCCACAAGGGGTGGCACGCCCCCCACCAGGGAGGAGTCCGAATTGGACAAGGGGAGAGGTGGCGCCCCCCTTTCCTTCTCCTTCTACCTCTCCTTCCCCCTTTTCCCCTCCGGTAAAAGGAAGGGGGGCCGAATCCTACTAGGACCCCAAGTAGGACTCCTCCTACTTGGGGGCACGCCTAGGGCCGGCCTCCTCTCCCTCCCTCCTTTATATACCGGGGGGCGCCCCTAGAAGACACATCAGTTGTTCCAAGCCGTGTGCGGCGCCCCCCTCCATAGTTTAGACCTCCGGTCATATTCTCGCGGTGCTTAGGCGAAGCCCTGCGCGGATCACATCACCATCACCGTCACCATGCCGTCGTGCTGACAGAACTCGTCTACTTCCTCGACACTCTGCTGGATCAAGAGCTCGAGGGACGTCATCGCGCTGAACGTGTGTAGAACTCGGAGGTGTCGTACGTTCGGTACTTGATCGGTCAGAATGAGAAGACGTTCGACTACATCAACTGCGTTAAGTAAACGCTTCCGCTTCCGGTCTACAAGGGTACGTGGACACACTCTCCCCCCTCTCATTGCTATGCATCTCCTAGGTAGATATTGTATGAGCGTAGGAAATTTTTTGAAATTGCATGCTACGTTTCCCAACATGTGTGTGGTTCAGTTTTACCATGTCTGGTTTCTTCTTCCCATCATGCTCCTCAATCACCACAATGAGATCTCTAAAGATCCACGGGCCCTCATGCATGACGTGGTTCCAATCGCCTAGACAAAGAAACTGGATTACGAACAAGTTGCCATCTACCTCACGGAACTCTGGATCATACGCGAGCCGCCACACGAACTTCATGGTGTCCTTAAAAGCATGGCATCGGAAGGATTTGTGGTATTAACACGAGCCCGTGCCAACCACCTTGTTGCCTTTGACAGTTGAAAATTTTCCTCCCCCGCTTCCCCGCGAATACATCATCAAGTTCAACATCCTTTAATTTCATGTTTCACATCGTTACTTCAAGATCAATCCCTCCTTTGCCCATCTTCGTGCCTCCTGCGAGGTACCTGATCCCATTAACGACGTCGCCATTGATCTGATCTAACGCCGTCCGTCGTCACTAGCGGTGTTGCCTAGGCCAGGTGGATGGACCAGCCATCCCCTTTGATCAGTCCAAGTGCATGCTAGGTCGGGGAGAGGCTTGCGTTTCAGCAAGCCAGACCAAAGATCTCAAGATCACTCGACGACGAGAGAATCCCCATAGCAGAGAAAGAAAACCCTGGTTTTTTTCGGAAATGTTAACGCCCACACGTGTGGGCGTTTGCACATTGCCCACACGCCTCCATCACCACTCATTTTGCCACGTATGAATAGATGACATCAGCAGAGTTTTTTTTGGTTTTCGGCTTAAAAATGTTGTATCTCCTAAATAAAAAAGCGAACTAAAAATCCTTTTCACCATTAAATCCGTCTCAACGAGATCTTCAAAACTAGACCCCATGTTGATATGTTTCGACGAATCTTTTTTTGCTAGAAGTTGCCACGATGTTTACACTGCAGTTGCCATAGGGCTTAAACTAAAGTTGCCATGTGGCAATTTTAGTTTGTAGATCATGGCAATTTTAGTATTTTGATGATGGCAACTCTAGTACTTTGACCATAAAAATTATTTTTTGTATGAACCATGGCAATTTTACGTGCATGTATCATGGCAATTTTAGTTTATGGTTCATGGCAAGTCTAGTTTCTTAATTCCCCGTTTTATAAATGTCAAAATTTACTTTTAAATGTAAAAGAAAATAGCTGAAACATATCATGGCAACTTCAGTGTAAACATCATGGCAATTCATATGCAATAGACATGGCAACTTTTAATCCAAAAAAAATTTCATCAAAACATATCAACATGGGATCTAGTTTCGAAGATCTCATCGCGAGGGATTTAATGGTGAAAACGGATTTTCAATCGGATTTTTCGTTTAAGAGATAAAACATTTTAAAAAGTGAAAATCCAAAAAGATTCCTGCATGCATGCATGCGATGACGTGGCAATCTGTTTACATTAGAGACGTGTGGTACGTCTCTCTTCCTGCCACACGTGTGGCAGTTAGCGCGACCTTTTTTTTTAAACAAAGAAAACCCTAGGGTAAAGATCTTCCAATCACAACTTGCATACTTCAAGGCCTTAATTTTTTTTTAAAAAAAACAAGGCCTAGTGGCCCAGCCCATCTCCGAAGAGGAAAATAGGAAAAAGAACGAAACAAAATCCGTTGCGTCCGTAGTATTATCCTTTTGCAGTGTCTGGCCGTCGCGCTCTCGCCGTCTCGCTGCCGGCTGCCGGCTGCCCCTCCCCCTCGCCGCGCCCGATTTCTCCGCCAACTCCCATACCCAAGTTCTAGGGAAAGATACACTGCTCCGATGGCGGTCAGAGTTCCGTCCATGGAGCTGAACCGCTCCCCGCCGCTCCTCTCCGGCGGCAGAGGTACTCCCGCATCGTCGCATTTTGTTGGAAAATGACCAGATTCTAGGATTCTTGAAGTCTGTAGAAATTTACCCCCTTCGCCCGCTTCTGGTTTGTGGCCTCTGATGTTCCATTCCAGCGTTCTCACCGCGGCGCCGTGTTTACTGTCCTGCTAATTAGTTAACCAGCGTGCAGCTTACAAGTAGCATAACCGTAACTGACCATGTAAAATTCGTATGTATAGTATGTACGTACAAAACTAGCTTCACTCTCACTGTTCTGCGATTTATTTGATGATTGTAAGTTGAAACTTTATCAGTATGTGGTTATGAACTTATGATGCTAGGGGGATACTGAAGATTTTAGCTCTTCTTTTTTTTTTTTGACGAAAGGGCCTTCCGCCCCAGTTTCATACAAACTGAATGGTAGATTTTCAATTCTTTATCTATTGTACTATTGTGTACTGACCATTTGTATGTTTCATCTACTACCTTTGAAGGCAAAACATGCCTTCAGAAGCCTTTCATTGTCCAAGCAAAGAGATCAGGTGGATTGGAGAAAGCAAATACTAGGTACAAAATACATCTTTACAGTTCAGACTCTTATCTGATTGGTTTCTCTAAGAAATTTAATGTGGCCACTGGTTGGTAGCTTACGACATATAAGTGCCACTGAACTCAACGCTCGTCTTTAATAATTTGTATAATATTCTAACGCTTACACAAAAACAAGCAGGTCACGAGGACCGCAAGCTTCTGAAAAACTCAAGAAAAGAGAACCCCTGACTCGTGGGACTGTTAGTGCGCCTCTTCCGGTACCAGGACACATACCTCGACCTCCTTACGTTGGATCAAACAAAATGCCCGAGATATCGAGTGAGAGACAAATGCAGGACAAAGACACCATCGTGCACATGAAAGCTGCATGTGAGCTTGCTGCTCGTGTTCTTCAAAATGCAGGGAAATTAGTCAAAGTAAGCATGCACTTCAGCATTTCTGTAGTCTGTTTCTCTTAAATCTAATTATGTCACTGCATCACCAGTTATAGTGCTGAATTTGCTCACTGTTTGTATGCTCCTTTTGTTTACACAATACAACATGCCTTGGTTTATTTTTTATGTATACTCCACAATTAATTTCAGCTTCAGTGAGAAATCTATTGCATCTTTCTATCAGCCCTCTGTAACAACAGACGAAATTGATAAAGCAGTGCACAAGATGATCATTGATGCTGGAGCCTATCCATCCCCGCTTGGATACGGTGGGTTTCCAAAAAGTGTATGCACATCAGTGAACGAATGCATGTGCCATGGTATTCCTGATTCACGAGAACTAAAGGTTCAGAAAGAAGGCCTTTCTTGACATACTTTGCGCTTACTTCAGAGCTTTTTCGCAGCTCCATTTCTGACCTAAATATTTGTTTTCGTTGGGGTTTTACAGGATGGAGACATAATTAACATCGATGTCACTGTCTACTTGAACGTACGTGTTTATGCTCTTGCTGTATAATTATCTCTTGCCATCACTTGGTAACATTGATGGGTTGTGCACTTCAGCATGTTATATCCTTCTCCATTTCAGGGTTTTCATGGGGATACCTCTAAAACGTTTTTCTGTGGAGAAGTTGACGAAGCTGCTAAAAGACTTGTGAAGGTACACTACCTTTTCTTTAGAACACATGTACTGCATGTTCTTGGAACTATGGTTTTTATTCATCAATGGTGGCAGGGTTCTGTGTGGCTAAAATGATCCATGAGGCACTGACATAAACCCTTGCTAGTTTCTAAACTTGAAAGTGTATTTTTCCTATGTGTTAATTCCGTCACTGCTTCCGCCTTTGCAAATTTGCTATGTATCTGTTTACACTTGGTCAATCCAACTCATCACTGCTAGTGTAACTATGAAATGGCAGAAGGGTATATCGAATTCTCCTCAAATATAAACCTTGATAACCATAATGGCTTATTGGTGCTAAAATCAGGTTACTGAAGAGTGCATGCTTAGGGGCATATCATCCTGCAAACACGGTGTGAGCTTTAAGAAAATCGGCAGAAGAATAAGGTATAGGTCTCTCAAACCATATTTAAGTGAAGGAGTTACATTTATCGAGGATGCAAAGTATTATTCGAGTGTTTGACCATACCTCTCACTGTATATACTGGGTAAGGTGCACCCAGACTGTATCCTCTCAGATTTTCAAACCCAAACATTGGAGAAGCCTGATGTGCCAAATACAGACAGTCACCTTGTCGTCTTTAGAAATGTCTCGTCCTATTTCCTAAATGGGTTAATATGTGCTTGCAGAGACATTAGAACACTTTTGACTATCAAACACTGTCATTTCCATCATTTACAATCAATTCAACATTTATCTCACTTGACTTAATACAGCTATATATTTTTTTTGCTTTTTTCATAAAAAAATGCACATTTAATAGTTTCACTCTTTGGTTTTGTTGGCCATTTCAGCGAGCATGCTGAGAGGAATGGATTTGGTGTCGTGGAGCAATTTGTTGGGCATGGAGTTGGCAGAGTTTTTCATTCACAACCAATTATATATCACCAGCGTAAGTGATTGCTAATAAACTATAACCATATTGTATCAAAAACTGAAAAAATTACATGTGCCAATGTTGCTATGCTTATGGTAGTGTCCCCTACGATAATAGAATGAGAAATTAGCACCTATTTTCAAATGTAGAGTGAACTCTAGTGAAGATTAGAGGATCTACTGCAGGCCAATGTGCATCAAACTTTTGCCCTGGCAGTAGACATTATGTTTGGGTTCTCATGCCACGTCCGTCCAATTTCTTCAATTGGTCATAATCACAATCAAGAAACTGACAAAAACATGTGCTGAGCCACAAACATGTTGATGGAATTTGATGGCAGTCGGTGCCACCAACTAGCTGAGCATAAAATCAGATGATTATTGCGATATTGAAGCAGGCATTATGTCGGTGATAGTTTCTGAAGTCAGATGTTGGCTTTGTTGCGCTGTTTCGGCACTAGATAGCTTGATCCGGTCTGCCACATCTGTCAATGCTTCGGCAATTATAGCTGACAGACACATTATTTGTGCACTTGAACAGGCAACAACATGCCAGGGCAGATGGTTGAAGGCCAGACGTTCACAATAGGTACGCACCGTTCACCCTGCCGATACATTCTTGAGTAGTAGTACTAACTGAAGGCTGAGGCAGCCAGGTTTTGAGTATTTGACTTAACGCACGCTGTGGCAAACTCTGGGCAGAGCCGATCCTGACCATGGGAAGCAACAGCAACAGCATCGAGTGCGACATGTGGGAGGACGGCTGGACGGCGGTGACGACGGACGGCAGCCTGGCGGCGCAGTTCGAGCACACCATCCTCATCACCAGGACCGGCGCAGAGATCCTAACCAAATGCTAGCAAAGCCAGCGCTGAAGGCGTACGGATCCTGACCGCGTAGATCACGTGATTTCTTCTTATGTTGTATGCCAAAGCATCACTGGAACAGCTGCTTACGTACGATGATTTTTGGCAGCGGCAAAGAGCTCCAGGCTTCTTCTGGCACACTATGCCCGGTGTTTTGCTGAACGGGGCCGAGGATCTGCATGGCCTACATCGCTGACTTGCCGTTGCGTGCGCTAGTATTTCGTCGGCCTGGGTGGGGGCACGAGAACGACCACCGCCAGTGCACCACGCGACGCACCCCCTTTTTTTGGAAAAGAACTCACAGTATTATAAAAGGTTCATTGGAAGTATAAAACACTTTCTTTTTGCGAGTGAAAAATTTGTATTACTCAACCATCAAAGTTACAATCAGCAAGAGCCAGCTCAACCGCAAAAGAGGGTTCCGATCCTAACCAAGTCATGGTCCTACCCTCTGAGCGAGCAAAATTTGCTAAACTATCGCTAACTTTGTTTTGCAGATGGCTCACATGAGTAATACAAACCTCACGAAGGGAACTGAGATATCTAATCTCCTTAACTAAAGAAGCATAAATGGATCTATCTCGATCTTTGCCTTGGATCATCCTTACTGCTAGTAGTGAATCTATCTCCACCACCACCGGAAGCTCACTTCTCTGCATTGCCAGTGATAATCCCTCCATACAAGCGCCCAGCTTCGCCTCCAAAGCTTCACGGCATGAGAAGAAATTCCTGCAAGCTGAAAATATGATCGCTCCCTGAGAATCTCTCAGTACCATGCCTGCTCCTGCACCATCCGGAGCAAACGATCCATCCGAGTTTAATTTCACCCAACCAGCTGGCGGTGGCGCCCATGGGGGTGTGAACTTCCCTCCCTGAGCTGGATGATTTAGAAGACTATGATCATAAGAAACAGCCGTTTTTCCTTTCAACAGATCCATGTTCGAGTTCATCTTAATGGCAATCAAGGACTCGAGGTAGCTGACGAGAAACTTCCTGGACACCTCAAGAGGAGGTGGGTTCTTTTGATGCAGTATCTCATTGCGGATGTACCAGCAGCGCCATAATGTCATAAGTAGCATACTCCTTTCAATATCCATTAACGGCTCCAAAACTTGGAATAACCATTCCTTCCCAATATTTCTGACCTGATCAACATCTGGTAGACTCCAAACCTCCGCCATATACTTCCATAGCGCGCTCTAGGGCACCGGCATAGTGGATGGAAATTGTCCTCTGGTTCCATACCGCAGATTGGGCACAGACTTGTTGTCTCAAGTGTTCTCTTGTTCTTATTCCTCCAGGTGGGAAGTGAATCTGTAACTACCCGCCAAGCAAAGTTACGGACAGTAGGTGGTACTTCAACAGACCAAATGAGTTTCCATACAGATCTTCGGCCATCTGGCATCAAACTTGAGGCAGTAGCATTGGCCCTGTATGCTTCCTCAAAAGCAAAATCATAAGCACTTTTTACTGTAAAAACACCAAGTCGCCCAGGTCCCCAAGCTAGTGTGTCCTCGTCTAGCTTCGGAGATGCTCTGATTTTCAGAATTTCCTCAACATCACACGGCAAAAAATAATTCCTCAACAAGTCCACATTCCATGATCCATTACCATTCAGCAGTTCAGAGACATATAGAATGCGGCAGCGTCCTTGTGAAGTCACTGGTTTGAACGAATACGGTCTTGGTATCCAGTTATCTCTCCACACTCTAATGCTTGCCCCATTGCCAACTCTCCACACGAGCCCTTTCTTCAGAAGATCTAGTCCGTGTATTATTGCTTGCCAGGTAGGCGAAGCATTGCTTGGGAAGATAGTATCCTCAAGCTTGCCCTCCGGATAATACTTTGCTTTCAGTAATCGAGCACGCAAGCTGTTCAGCCTATCAATGAGACGCCAAGCTTGACGGGCCAAAAGCACTTGGTTAAAGAGTCTGAAGTCACGGAAACCCAAACCCCCTTTGCATTTAGGTTGGAGTAGAAACTCCTATGCCTTCCAGTGCACTTTCCTCCGTCCTCTTTTCGAACCCCAATAAAAGTTTCTGACCATCCTCGTCAAGTCATCACAAACTGAGTATGGAAGTTTGAATACACTCATGATGTATGTAGGAAGTGCTTGGGCAACGGACTTGATCAGTACCTCTCTGCCAGGCTGCGCAAGGCACCCATCTCCCCACTGTAATAACCTCTTTGTGAGGCTTACTTGCACATTCTGGAACCGCCCTTTAGACATGCGTCCATCTGGTGTGGGAAGGCCCAAATATTTCTCTTCAAAAACTTGCATAGTGACATTTAGAACAGCTCTAACTTCCACTTGGTTTGCGTTGGGGCATGCATTACCGAACATGATTGAGCACTTGTTAGAATTCAGGCTTTGACCCGTAGCATCACCATAGAGGTCCAAAACCCCCTTCACTCTCACAGCTTGTTCATGATTAGCTTCAAAGAACAATAAGGTATCGTCAGCAAATAACAGGTGCGAAATCCCTGGCGCCCTTCGGCAGATTTTGACAGGAGTGATATTTCCATTTTCAACCTCATGCTTCAAGATAGCAGAGAGACCATCAGCTATTAAAAGGAAAAGAAACGGTGATAGGGGGTCACCTTGCCTAAGCCCTCGCGACGGTGCAAATGAATCCAAGAGGGTATCGTTTAATTTGACAGAAAACCTCACCAATGTGACACATGTCATAATCCAGTCCACCCATCGACGAGAGAAACCCAGCTTTTGCATCACTTGCCTCAAGAAACCCCAATCAACCCTATCATAAGCCTTCGATAAATCCAACTTATATGCACAAAAGCTTTTTGTGGGATCCTTTTCTTGTTTAATGTAGTGAATGCATTCGAAGGCCACAAGAGCATTATCCGTTATCATTCTCACCGGGATAAAAGCGCTCTGCTCCGGTGAGACAATAGCATCAAGCATAGGACGCAACCGATTAACCAAACATTTCGATATAACTTTATAGATAATGTTGCATAAGCTTATAGGCCTAAAGTCAGTCAGTCGAGCAAGATTTGGGATTTTGGGAATAAGAACGATAGAAGTTGCATTCATCCCCTCTGGCATTACACCCGTCTCAAAGAACACCATAACTGACTTAATAACACTGTCCCTGAGCGTGCTCCAATTCTGCTGAAAAAACCTGGCCGGAAACCCGTCCAGGCCCGGTGCCTTCAAGGGGCCTATCTGGAATAAGGCATCAACGATCTTTCAGTAAAAGGTTCACAAAGTTTGGCATTATCATCATCTATGACCCGAGTCTCAAGAAGGTTCAGTACCGGAGCATAATTCAGATTCGGGTCCGCTGTGTATATCGACTGGAAGTAGCTATTTGCCATAGCACTCATTGTATCCATATCAGAATGCCCTATCCCACTTTCGTCCATGAGTTCACGGATTCTATTTTTACATGCTCTCCAAACAGCCTTACTCTGAAAATATTTTGTGTTACGACCCCCCTCCGTAAGCCAACTTATTCTTGATCTTTGTAACCATAACATTTCTTCCTGGTATAATAATTCGTTCATTTTATCCGTCACCCTTCGAATGTCCTGCCTATCTGCATTCATATTCATCAATTCCTCCAACTGAGATCTTGATTTTGCTAGCTCACGGGTAATGTTGCCAAATTTCTTCTTACTCCATAACCCGAGTGTGGACATTGTTTTTTTGAGAGCCGCCTGTAATTGATCTAAACTCTATACAGCACCAACAGACTCCCATGCATCCTTGATCAGCTCTGGTAGTTCATCACTTCGTTCCCAAAATATTTCACACTGACGCACCCTTCCTCTCGTCGGCCCTGGGTCCGGAGAGCCCTTAAGCACCAACGCTACATGGTCAGAGCACGGCGAAACTACATGAGTCACAGAAGCAAAAGCAAACATATTACGCCATGCACTTGAAGCAACAGCCCGGTCCAAGCGAACTTTAACATTTGCAGCACCACTTCTCTTGTTATCATAAGTAAAGGGAATCCCCGAGAACCCCAAATCAATTAGTTGACAAGTTTCCAACACATCACGAATAGCCAACATCTGTGGTTCTTGTCTTGGTGTCATGGACATGTGCTCAAAGTTCCATAGGCATTCATTAAAATATCCTATAACTAGCCAGGGGAGATCCGATGACGAGTACAAGTACTGCATCTTTTCCCACATGAAGTGCCTATTCTCCACCCGAGGTTCCCCATACACAAAAGTCACTCTCCACTGTTCAGCATCAGCATGCAAGCGCACTGTTATATCAATATCTCTCTCGTCCTTATCAAGGATATCAACCAGGCAATTTTCATGCCAAAATAATGCAAGACCACCACTTAGTCCATTATAGTCCACGCACTCAAAACCTTTCAGGCCAAGATGACCTCTTAGTCTCTTCAACCTCTCTTCCTTTTGCCTGGTTTCACACAAGAACACCAAACTTGGGGAATGCGATTGTACAAGCGTCGCTATTTCATGAACTGTCAGGGTATTCCCCCCTCCCCGGCAGTTCCAGTTTAACACGTTCATTGTCCCCGGCGGCCCTCCATGTCGGAGGCCGCCTCGGACGCCACATCCATATCCACATTCTCGCCGTTATCTCCCTGCTTTCTCCTTTTCACGATCTGAACTTTTCCTGGAGTATTAGATGGACCAGTTTCCGCTCCCTCCGATGAGCTACCACCTTCCAACATAAGAACGGTGCTCGAAACCTTGCCAGCTAGGTTCGGCACCGGCTGTCCACGAACACAAACTGTACCATCGCTATTGATTAGGCGTTTATGAACCAGGCGAGTATCATCATCACCCAGGCTATACTGCTGCATCGCCCTACCTCCGACAAACGTGTTCGAGGGTGCATCATCAACTCCCTGTCCCTCCATATGCACTGCAGTTCTACCTCGACCCCGTGTTTCTCCTCTACCTCCAGCTCCTTCCCTATTAGCAAAACCAGCTCCACCTCTACCCCTCCCTCCCGCTGCGCCCCTTCCTCCTCGACCACTTCCCGC